GGCACCGGCTGAAGCGGTATTACCATTGAAACATAATTTATTGTTAAGTTTCTCGTTCATTTCTTTTTCGCATTCTTAACCTTAATGTACTGTAAAACAATGTAGGGCGAAAAGTTCCATATACAATATTTCGTGTTGCAGAGCGAAATATTGAAAGCAAAGTCGGGAAGATATTCTTTCACTTGTTTTCTTGGTCTCAGCAACATTCACACTGTTTGCATCTTTTGTTAGTAATCAAAATATCTGTTAAAAGAATCATTTTGTTTAGAATTCTTTTTTAGTATCTTACAAAGTATTAAATGTATTCACATGACAAAGGTAAAAGATCTACGCCAGAAAATTAACTGAGTAGCTTTTATCAAAATGGTATTTTCTAAACCTTTCAAATGACTTTGCATGCATGGCCAATAAGCTAGATCAAGCAATGTTTCCATCCAATAATTCTGAGAATATTCTTAAAACTTTTCTCAGAATATTTGTAGCCTATCCTTGTAGATATTATTCTTCTTCCCTGAAAAATTTATTTATAGCAAGATGCAATTCGATGACATTATTTGTAAACAAGCACTCGAAATAGCTTTTAATGTTTCAATTAATCTAAAGTAGCTCTTAAATAAAATTTGCAGATCAAGTTATAAAAAATGTCCAGATAGGTTCATTTTAATAGGGGAGCATGTATGCTCGTATGTAGCGTGCTAACACTTATCTCTTTACAAGCATTGCACGAATGCACGTGCAATTTCACTACAGTACATTCTTGCTGAATTAGCTGGCAATAAAGTCAGACAGACGTATGTAAAAAATGTATCCCAGTCTGATAGTTTTTGATTACCTTGTTTCTATTTTCAGAGTATCTTTCCGGTTCAATGAATTCTAGTTATTTGACGATAATTGAGTAGGCTTTTAGGTGTCAATATTCTAGGTATAGCTTCCTGGGTGTAAATACATTTTTGTGACGGCTTGATTTTTTTTATATATTCACAGAAAATATTCACACAAAAACAAGTAATAAATAGTTTTAAAGCTGCAATTGTATCAAAATGTTTGAGAAAAATGTGAAAAGATTTCTAGATTTGAGAAAAGTAAATGATTCAAGATTCAAGTAATAATTTAATTGCCATGCTATGTGTGACTGATTTTGCAGTATTCATCACCATATTCATGCTGTGTGACAGTTAGGCCTATTTTGCACATTTTGACCCTCTTTTTGGTCATTTACACGGATTCTTAAAAAACATGAATATGTATATCTTAGAATGCATGTAATAAAAAGAAAAAATAACCTGCTACCCAAATTGTCAAATAAACAAGAAACATTTTAAAAGTCAATACAATGTTGTTACCCTTGTATATAAAGAATTTGGATAGATGTATCTGTAATTAAAGTATAAATAACGAGATTTTCAGCTATTTCGTACTAAATTGCTGTATCTCGATTTTGACTTGGCAATTACGAAAATGAACGATTCAAATCACTTCACAACAAATAGTCTGGAAGCAAAAAGTGTACACTAGCAACCTAATTATATAAAATGGAACTTTTACCTTTTATATGTAATCAGGTATTTATTTGAAATTTTCGCGCAGTTAAAATAATGCTCTATGATAAGCATTTTAGGTTTTAATCTTTATTTTTATTAATAATTTACTTGTTTAATAAAAACGACGTTGTGCTATAAATTGAAAAACAATCTCTTATTTTTTTTACACACACCTTTTGGCTCTTTCGAAATACGTATTATGATATAAAGGTTTGATAATAATGTTATATCACTGAAGGTCAAAAGTTGAAATTAAGCTTTTCCCGCCCACAGATATTGAACGAATATTCTGCAAGAATTTACGTAATGCCAAATGATCTATTCATCATTTCAACATAAGTAGCATATTTTAAGTTTAAAAAAATATTTACTTTTGGAATGTGTTTGATTGTATATTTTGTAAATTATGATACAATTCATATATCATCATATATTCTGAAAAGTCATCAATTAGTATTAGTATATTAGTATAAGTATAGAATCAAAGTACAATCAGCGTTTTCTTTGTTATAACATCATACATGATTAATGGACGATTTATGGAAATTTAAAAGAAAATGCCATGGATATAGCCAAAATCTTTTACATTTAAGATCTTTGTTTTTAAAAAAGTCATATTTAGAAAGATGGTCGGATTGAATTTTCCTGACAAAACTGAGGTGATTTCTTAAAAAAGGTAATTTTGAAATATTTGATCCAATAGGAAAGCAGGAAAACAGAATGTTTACTTAATGTAAATTTTTTCTTTCTACACGACACCTTTATTTGAAATAATGTTTTCATTAAAATAATACATTTTATCATATTTTATATAGCTTCAGTATTTGGGTTCTTTTGCTGGTCTTGTAAACATGTTTGACTATACGCCTCTTCTGTTTCCTCAAATCTAATTAACGTTCAATTATGTACCTCTAGAAATAACACAATAAGCTTTTTACACAAATGAGCACGAGATTTCTTCAACTCACAAAGAAAAAGATAGCTCTTTAGTGTCTGTACAGATTTTTAAAGCTGAGTGATTAGGTTCCGTGTCTGGGAAGTGTGCCAATATGTGTTAAACTGCTTTTACCTATAGAATGTGCAACCAATCCTACCTAGTAAGCTTTATGCAGGCAGGCAAACCTTACAAATGTCAATACGGAACACCAGCACAATAAGTCTCTCTCCATAATCACCCTTCTTTTCAACTTCTTTTCCCAAACAGATTGTTATTATTTACCTGCAAATATTTCAAGTCTCAAAAAACAATGGTAAGAGATATTCCATACGTTGTAATCAAACAATATAGTAAAGTATACAGTATCAAAAGTAACGAATGCGCTAAATGGATTCACTTTTTTGCACTGCTGTTGAGATGGAATTATTGATGATTCCTAATCCATGCTAAAGAGTTATTGCAATATGGTGGATAAAACAAAATCCTATCTAAGAATTATAACATTTATAGGAAATTAAAATTACAAAATACGAGTAAGCAATACACTAAGCATAAGATCGGTATTTGTGAAAATAATTATATTTAAGCAAAAATATATTGTAATGGAAGCTAAATTCACCAACAATACTTATCAATATGCACGTTAAAACCATGACATGTTCCTATCTGAGAATAGTTAAGCTCGACATTCTGGTTAACCGCAAAGTAACAGAAAAAACCTACAACGAATCTTGTTACCTGCACGTATAGTGAAATGCATTTATTTACAATGAGTCAGTGAAAAAGCTTTGGCATTGCTTGCAACAAAAAACTTTCTCAACAAACTTGTCTCGTAGACAGAATAAAATGTTCTCTTACCGAGACAGCATATCGTACAAACAAGCTGATTTGTAAATTGTTTCTTTTGTAATTCAACAATTTTTATTAATGTAGAGACATTTTATCAAAATTGTCGCCATTTTGACGCGACATTTTTATTTGCCTCAAATTATACATTAATCTCAAGAGTACATTAAAACCGATCTAAGGTTTGCATTGGTTGCTATAGACACGGAAAACTGGGCACCGGTTTTGTTAAAATAATATTCACTCTATCTATGCAGAGAAGGTGATAAAAAGGTTTTATGTATTTGTATGTAATTTTATGATTTTTGTAATGAAATACAAAATTTAGATAATTAAGACGTGATTTTCGCGAATTTATCAAACAACCCTCGTAGATCAATATCAACATAACAGGTGCGTTCATTGATAAAGCATACGTTTCAATCCAAATATACTTAAACACCCACTTCATTCCAAAATAAAACAAATAATAATAAAGAGTGGTAAAACAATTCAAATGATATTCATTCTCATTATGTTTTTTTAAACGTTCAACTTTTTAGGTATGCATAGATACATTGCATATTTAACCCATTACCAAGCTAAATATCTGAGATACGCTCTTTCATCTTTCAATAATTATGGACAAAACAATTGATAATTATGAATAATTTCAACAATTAGTAATGAACAGTGCAAAACATGTTAAAATGCATAAATGTGCCGGCTGATGTTTGTTTTGTTAAACAACAATTGATATAATATCTGTACTTTGGTAGGGTCTATTTCGGTGCTTGATACTGAACTAGACCCCATCGTTTTGAAATTGTAAATGTCCATTTGCTGATAAAATGGATTTCAGAATTGAAAAGCTGAAAGTAAGAAGCCTGGCCTGACTGGCTGACAGGCCTAGATCTATATTTATGGTACACCCAAATCACGTGATTATCTTGTCATAGAAATAGCAAGTGCCAAAATACATGTATCTGATTTTGCTAAAAAACTTTAAAAAGAATTGAGAAGCACCTCTAAGACAAGATTCTGTTCCACGCACTACATTCTTAATAGAATAACACTCATATACGTGTATACTCCTGTTTTAAATATTATAACATAATTAGAATAAGATGGTTCCAAAACACAAAACAGTATCCAGGTACAAAGATCTAATCTGGTAAAGAAACCTTTTCTTTTCTTTAAATTGGCGCCAATTTGCAAAGTTATTGTTATTTTTCCAAAAAGATAAGAACCAGGTTTAACCAATTGTTTCTACATGTTGAAAGTGCTAAGTGAATATCGGTAACTAAGGGAATAACATTAAAAACAGGTGTGTTGAAAGTGTGTTTTACTAAACAATTAGCTATTATACGTAAGCAAGTTTGCAAAAATACTGTTATATAAATTTATGATTACACAAACATGTGCATTGTCTGGAATTTTGAAATAGTTTGATTAGTATAATTTGTAAAGAAATGAATGTCGATCGTCTTAAATATGCAGTATAACATTAAAATGAAGATTTGTTTGTAACGTCGCTTTTCATTGGTTAATCGTGACGTTTATATAATTTTAGCGCCTCAGGTGATATTGTTATATTTACAAACAATCATTTATATGGGACTATATAACCTGTCAAAAACCTTTATAACTAATAATGTATTAGCTTTTAAAATGTTATATTATTTTGTGTATTACAGTACAAGATGCCAACTCCGGAAGGGTTAAAACCTCAGATTATAGACAACAGCGATGGTTCCATCAATGTTTCATACCAGCCCAAAGTTCAGGGTAGACACGAGGTCCAGATGTGCTACGAAGGGGCAGCAGTTGACGGTGAGTAATGTTTGTAAAAGTATTTTGAATTTCTTGTCCATTTCTTTCCCTTTTCCTAAAAAATCTGAAAGTTTGCGTATTGGTTAAGTCATTTTTTAAGCTTCAAAATAAGAATTTAGCACATTTGTCATACCTTTGCAAATACAATGTATTGCAATGTCTTTTACAAGCAAAGTCAGTCCAGCTGAAAACAAGTTTTACTGCATAAAGCTCGTGTACTTTTGGTAATAACTTACTGTTTTGTGTGGCAGCCGTAAAACTCGCACAGTATGTAATCGTCCTTCAGAAGAAAATTTCTTGCTTGCACTTTCAAATTAGATCAATAATAATAATTACTTCTGAACAATATATAGTAACCTTTTAATGCAGATGTTCTTGTTTTCTTGTTTTAAAAAAAGATATCTGGAAAAGTGAAGATGATTTGACAGCAATGAAAACAAGAAAATTTAATTTAAGAAGATTTAACCGACAGAGGCAGAACAAAACATTTAGATAGAAAAAGATTACTGCTTACTTTTTAAGTACTTGAGTAGGATAATAACTTTGTAACTTTAATTCTTCATACTTGCCAGCGTTCAATATCCAGAACGCTTGTCTAGACATAGTTTTATTTTCAATAGCTGAAGGTTATTTTCAATCTAATGTTTTCCCTGTAAATTTGTTGTATTTTTTGACATCAGATTCAAGGAATATTTCATAGAAAATTATGCGGGGGAGAATGTGCTAAGTGTTCGTTTTTTCTGTAATAAACAGTCGTAAATTGTTGTTAATATAAAACAATTAAAATCTTCACTTTATTTTGTTAAGCATATTAAAACGGGGCGTTATATATTTACTCGAGCTTTTTTTTCATATACACGTGCCGATAAGTTTATATAAAACACAGGTGCGCTTCGGATTCGAATGCTATACATTTTAGAATCAACGCCAAAGGTTTATTTTCAACCTTATTATTTTCAAATTTCTCTCTTGACATTCTGAAGGTTATTTCTCCTCTCATAAGCGTGTTAATCACCTCAAATTCATCTAGCTCATAAATATATACATAATTCATAGAAAACTTAAAATATGTTTGGCATCTAAATTACGCTGTAGCAGAGAGTTTTATGTTTGTCTTATCCAGATTTAATCAGCAGGTAGTAACTACTTTTTTCGCGGATGAAAGATATAAAAGTAGTTTCACGCCGGTAGTCTATATCGTATTTATCCGCGTCTTAAGAAACAGATTAAGTATAGACCGATTTATTTAGAAGCAGCTTCTTTTTAATTAATCTTTTCATTCCGAATTAAATAAACTCTACTTGATAAAACGAAAGTTAAGATGTATAATCATCTAATGTCAATATTATATAAATATAAATATCTGTGACGTAGGGTTTATGATTGTATATCGGATAATAATTTACTCCTCTGATATGTGGTATAAAATCAGACATGAAACCAGAAGTGGTCAAGATAAAGCCGCCGATTAGCTCAATAGGTAAAGCGTTGGACTGTGAATCTGGCGGCCTGGGTCGCCTTAAATTCGTGAATTTATCGAGACAAGGTGCTACTCCATGCACCAGATTGGAAATCAAGAAATTTCAATTCTGTTACATTTCATTTAAAAAAAGACAAGAAAAACGACTATGAATAACTATAAAGACGTATTCAAATTACTGTCAGAGTATACGGTGTCATACAGCCTGTCATGAAGTGTACATATCTGTCAGGAACTTGCATATCTAATATATATAATTATATTTTCCTATCATAACATGTACTTTTGCTTTGACATGCATTTATGTAGTATGTATTTTTGCTTTCACAGATTCACAGACCTCGTAAATGTTATGGTTACTTTAATGCACGAAATACGGAAGATGATTTTAATGTATTCTTTAAATGTAAAAAATATAAATATCAACGTCAGCACCTTTAAATGTAATGAATACACACATGAACGACAGAACTATTTACTAAGATAGAATAACGGAAGATTTGAATATGACGATTTTTGTAATTTAATGTTTTGTTCGAATGATGATAAAATAAATCGATTGTTTTCTTTTCGCATGCTTCTTTGAAACATAAAATGTGTAATAACATGGCACAACCTTAAATGTATAATATTATATTAAATTCGCTATGTTTTGGACCAGAGGCCTTTATATTTGTTTGGGTCGTCAGACCAAACAAATAATGGTAGCGAAATTTCAGAGTCTAATGCTGTTAATTGCAAATGCCGAAAGTAGTCCACTTTTTTGAAGCAGTTACTTCCCTTAATATGTACACTAACGCCGAAAAATTCAGGGGAGATCACTGCGTAAAGATGGTCAAAGACAGGCACATTAATTTTCAAGCAAAATAATTCCCGAATGGTCGGAGATTTCTAATATTGTTTTATTGCATTTTCTGATCGAAAATAAGTAAATACAAAGCGGACATTCAATCTCTGACACAGAAGTTTACAACAAACCTAACAACAAGTAGTTCTCAAAACAGCTTAAAACTAGCGATTGTAAAGAAAAAAATTTTTTTATTTTGTTACAAGTATCCAACAAATTACAACGCATTCAAAGTATAAAAATAGCGTAGGCTTATAGAATTGTCAATAAATGCACAATCACAAATTACGCGGATGAATATGATTTTATCAATGAAAATACTATTTTTAGCGATGTCGATTACCGAATACTACGCTAACCGAGTAGTGGAATATATAGATTCTACATGTCGGACTGTTTGGGCGAGAAGATTTTCGCTAAATTATTTACTTCAATTTTAAACAACAGGTTTATCCTGAACAAAATACCTCGAAATTAATAAGGATTACAAACATGAAATGCAATGGAAGTTTTAAATTTAGAATGACTTGATGTTATTCAGCCATTGTTTGTATAACTTCTCCGTGGTGCAGAGGTAACGCGCTCGCTTGGTGAGTAAGAGATCTTGAGTTCAAATCCCAGTCGAGGAAACTTTTTTTTTTTTAATTCTTTTTAAGTGTCTTTGTTAAGGAAGTAGCGATATGCAAGGATAAAGTGTGACTGTCGTAAAAAATGAACATAAATGATTTTTTGATGCAACTCTAGTTATGCAGAATTCCGTATGAATCAAACTCTGGTGCCTTGCAAAATGAATTATAATATATAAAAATAAACTTATACAGAAAAATACATACAGATCTACAGTACGATTTAGATTGCAAAAATCAGAAAATACCACAGAACTTGTAGCCCTTTGATTCTTTATAAATATACATGCTTATAGTAAGCTCCAGGATTATTTACATCTGTGTTAAACAACAGTTAAAGTCGTTACAAGCCCTAATTTAGAATAATATGGTTTTCTTCAGGCAGTTTAAATATAAATTCACCGTGGCTGTAGGGTTTTCGCGCTCGCTTAGGAAGTGAGAGGGATGGAGTTCAAATCCCAGTAAAGGCAACTCATTTTTTTTTCAAATTGTTTAAGTCAAATAAACATTGGATTAAATATCAGTGTTGCAATTAGTCTTATAGCCAATTTACTACAGTTAAAACACTGGAAAGCATTGGTGGCACTATACATATAATCTCAAAACCTGTACCTTTCTTACATTCTGAGACCCAAACAAATTCAGCGCCTTCTGTGCTTTGATTTACAAATGTAATTGATATTGTTGTTGTCATATGTATGAAAAGTGTCTAAATGTATGACATCAATGACAATTTAATCCACAGTGTAGGAATAATAAGTTATATGAGCCGTGTCACGACAAAACCAACATAATGGGTTTGCGACCAGCATGGATCCAGACCAGCCTGCGCATCCGCACAGTCTGATCAGGATCCATGCTGTTCGCTATCAGTTTCTCTACTTGTAATAGAGTTGGTAAGCGAACAGCATGGATCCTGTTCAGACTGAGCGGATGCGCAGGCATGGATCCTGATTAGACTGCGCGGATGCAACCCATTATGTTGGTTTTGTCGTGACGCGGCTCATATTTTAAAGTAGTTCACCACTTACAACACTTGAATAAAAAAAACTTTTGAAAAGTTTCGTTTAATATGTTTGTTCAAATATTCAAATAACCCCTTAATTTGTCATCGCTTAATTAATTTTTGAACATTCCGATGTACTTACTAAAGGAATGCATACAAATATAAGAATCCTATCAGATGAAACATTCCGACACCATTAATCCGATTTCTTTGATCACAAATAGAATAACAGCTAACAAAAATAGAACAAGTTTGGACAAAAATAGAACAAAATTCTATCTTCGGCGTATAATTTCAAAAATTTGAATAGTGCAGGCAATAAATAATGATTGTTAATTTTCTTGATTTATTTCACAGAAGAAAATACACATTAAAATAAAACATTAATTGACATAAACGATAAAATTTAGCAACATTTGTTATCTATATTTATTTTGCATAACGATTTCAATGGCAAAAAAGAAGGAGAAGAAAATAGATTGGAAGCAATGGAATTTCAGTTAAAGTAGTGCGGCTGTTGGTTAATAATTTTGTGTTAAGTATCTTATAGTAAAAATCTCACAAATATAAAAAAGTCCAGAAATAAAAAGAAAATGACAAACGATCTGCTGCATACAGAGTTTATCGTAACATTTGGTTTTTTAAATCAGTATAATGACATAATGACATAATGCCACCATTTTTCACGTTATACACAGGCAACCAGCTGGACTGAAACATGTGGTTCAACACTGAAACTTTAGAGGGCGTTTGGGATGTTGAACTTTTACATTATCTCTCATGTACACTAAATCAAACCGGCCCTGCAATTTTCATGTGATTTTGTTGTGATTAGTACTTCTGAGGGATCACCATTTCCCGGATTGTTAGTGACTTGAAGTATTTGCAATTTCTTCAAAAGGGTCCAAAAATCAATGCTTACTTGAGTCAGGGTCTTTCAAATAAAGATATTTGAAAGAACATGCATTAGTTAGTTTTTTGTCAGGTTCAAATCTATGTATAAAGCTAAAGATATTTTTTCTTCGCTTAGTTATTGAGAAGTAAGATACCTCTAAGTCAGTCAGAATCACTATGTCATTAAAATCGTCATCATTATTAGATGTGGTCATAGAGTTTACGTCACTCCCCGATCTCATAAACGTCTAATCTAGTAGATAACGTCAAAAATGAATGCATAAAAGCTACATACAACAGCATATTTTGAAGTTGTTAATCTGTTTCCGAATTAAGTAGCAGGTGCATTTATACAACATAATTTCCTATGTTTAATTTCATCATTATATGTCATAAAACTAAAGATAAGATCAATGCACAGGTGTAAAACAGCGTTACCTGCATCGCCCATAAAAGTTACGAAACAATTTAGGACGATAAGATCTAATCATATACTTCCATACGTAAAGCGTTGTTTTTGTTTATTGATTAAATTCAGAGAGCTCTTCATAATACTATTAAGCTGGATCTAATTAAGAAACCGCTTAGGTTTTTCAAGCTAATTCAGCAATAAAGAAAATAAAACGGTGAGGTTCAGATGTTATGATAACATAATACAATGTATTGACTTTATTAAAGTAAACATATAAAACAGATATGTTCCATTTATATTTCTCGAAAGCATTGTTTTGTTTTGTGTATATATTTGATATTGCTTCAATTGATAACGAGAATTTAGAGTTTTCTTTATGCGTAAATCAAATCAATTGAAACGACGTCTATAACATTTTATGCTATGAACAAGTTTATCTTGCCTTTATGTTTATAATGCCCTTTATCATTATCTATCATTGGTATCTTAGTTCTTAAATCATAACTATATCTTAATTGTTTAGCCCCGATTTTGACATTTTTGTTTGTATTTCGGAATTAATTATAGCACTGTATTTGACATGAATTTGACATTAAATGAATAGAATCAAATCGATTAATAAATGACATTTTAGTTAGTTGAATCCGTATATTGATCATTAATTGTTTTAACTTGAAATTGTGTGCATTGCTTAAGCTGATACTAAGGACAAGAGGCGTATCGCAGATTTCATTGTTTCATATGAACAGACTAAATAAAACAGCGTCAAAGATTTTCAACAACTTCGTTCATTACTGTCAAAGAATCATCCATTTCCAAATTTTAATGCTTTTATTATTTTTTTTGCAGTTTGCCAAATAGTGGTCAATGAACTACAAATTTAAACCTTCAAATTTTTTTAAAATGTCTCTTTATTTTCATTTTTCCCTGTTTGCCACCTTATTTCAGGATTTTAATAAATACTTACTTTTTATTTTCAGGAAGTCCATTTCAATGTTTGGTTGACAGCATTGATGGAGGTTTCGTGTCAGTTTATGGCACCGGTCTCGTTGGCGGTATGTCCGGAGAGCAAGAAAGTTTCACAGTTGTATCAAAATCAGGAACACAAAGTACGTATCAAAATTATAGTAGTGTCATTGAATGATAAGGCAATACTTTATTTGAATTTTCGGGGATATAATGAAGATGATAGTTTGATGATAGTGACAATTTACTGTACATTAGAGGAATCTTCTTTCCTTGAGAAGCTAGGAAAGTGTACACTAAAACCCATCTGGAATGACTTTTTTTAACGAGTGCTAAACAGCATAATTGATCTTTTATAACATGTTACTTTCATTGATTATATAAATCCTTTGAAGAATAAAATAAAAAATTGCATCATTACTTAAAGGTTTTAGACTAATATGCTATAAAATTGCTTATTTTATTGTGACATTTTAGAAATTAAATGAGATTTATAAAAACATATCATTCTGCCATATTTTGCAGATGATGTTCAGGTCACAATTGATGGACCGGCACGTACAGATGTCACCCGTAACGTTCAAGGTTCCCACGCAACCTTTAGCTACCTTCCAATGACGTCAGGAGCTTACAATATCAACATATCATTTAAGGGAAAACCAATCAAAGGATCTCCCTTCCAGGCTAAAGTTTCTGGTAATATTTTCTAAAGTTTATATGCACATTTGATTTGTATGTGCACAATCAGTTTGCAATAATGCTCACATCAATAAAAAAAATTTAATTTGTTTTCATGAGCAAAGAAAAACGCTGTTTTAAAGTGGCTTTTTTATTACCACATTCTTTGACAGGTTCGCTTATAAGAGTATTTCTATTTACGGAAAGAAACGAAAGCTGTCGGTTTTTATACGGCATAGCCGAAATGAAACTTCCAAAATACTAACAAGACCTTATATATCAAAATTGTTATAAAAATAGTTATATTGAAAATCACTTATACCCATTCTTTGAAATATTCAGAAATTCACTTTTAATTAAAAAAGAGATAAACAGACTCAAACTGTCAAAACAGGTTTAGATTCCAGATCCACTGTCAAGGTTTAAGTGACAAAACACACAAGAAATGTGCAAAGTTTGTGTTTTACGGAAATACTTGACTTTGTGCCGAGGTAATTAAATAACGAGAGAAACACTATAATACAATGTAGAATTTTCCATTCCATCTCTGTAGGTCATGCTATAAAAATAATTACAGTGCATTGCAGGGTGTCTGCTAAAACACATGGGCTTGCCAGATCATAAATGTGCAAGGGAACCAAATCGCTAATTAGAACAAAACAAAAACCAAGAATTGATTTGGAACACATTAAAGAAATAATTATGTATCAGATCCACCCAGGTATTGTTTTGTAGAAGTACCTTTATTCAAAAAAGGTTTCTTTTATGTGAGAAAGCTATACAGGTAGTTATCACAAGGTCGGTCGTTCTACTCAGGTGGCTCTTTGTGCATGAATATATTAATACGTGAGGTGCACCTGAGGTGTTCCTTTATCATTAAGCTGGAATTTCGCTATATGACCTTTACAGTAACGGTGTTACTTTAAAGCAAATAAAAATATAATTTAAAATTATGACGTCATCACATCATTGCTTTACTATTTCAAAACAATATGCAATAAATTTTATATTGTTTTACATAAAGTGTAAGTATCTCTTCAAACTTAATTGATGGTAGAATCTCACTATATTAATAACACTTTTTAAAGACTGTTATATATATAAAGAATTTTTGAATTTATACTTGCAAAATCATTTAAGAATCATAAATAATAAAGTTATTTATCTTAATAACATCCAGGAAGCAATTTTCACTGTTAAGGGTATCATTGAGTGCTCTAAATCAACAGCTTTCATGTTTATATTACTAGTTTACGTTCAATATTTAAACAATTTCAAGATTTTAAGACATCGAATAGGCTCAATCAAACTGAGCCTGCAACATTTACAATTTTGTCATATTGGGTGTTCTTGAGGGATTCCGTGTATTATATGAGCCGCGTCACGACAAAACCAACATAATTGGTTTGCGACCAGCATAGATCCAGACCAGCCTGCTCATCCGCGCAGTCTGATCAGGATCCATGCTGTTCGCTTACAAACACTATTACAATTAGAGAAACTGATAGCGAACAGCATGGATCCTGATCAGACTGCGCGGATGCGCAGGCTGGTCTGGATCCATGCTGGTCGCAAACGCAATACGTTGGTTTTGTCGTGACGCGGCTCATATATGTTATAAGTTTCCTCCTTCATCCACCCATTATTATACTTAATCCATTGCATCTAAGAGTTATTTTATCTTTTAGTATTCCTTCATTCTCCAGATTGTTGTGGTGAATGAAATGTCGAATCCATGACTCGCTCATTAAAGGACCACCTCTACACTGACATTTGCGTAACGGATTGGTTTTGGAATTTAGAAGACATATCTTAAATTCCGATGAAAATATTTTGATGCTTCGCGATGTTGACTTATCCTGATTTCAAATCTATTTTTGTAAACACCTAATTATCATACACGTTATTTAAAACATTAACCTTAAAGTGTATTTCAAACATTTAACACATGATATTTATGAGTTTTAACAGATTATTCAATTAATCATAACATGTCGGATGAACCATGTATTATTATCAGATAAAGCATGATTAATCGCGTAAACTTCCACAGAACTGTTTGAATTTAGAGGAACTCGTCTTTCTCCCGTGTCTATATATCTACTTAGTCATAGTCATCTAGATGGCATAGAAGATAACGTTATGCATTTTCTAGCATGGACTGATTTAATGTGACAGTGCTCTCTCATCAATTAACTAGCTTCTATTATTGAAATAGCTGTTTATGTCAAAAAGCTTGTTTGATAATATCTACATGTGAAAAACAGGTTACATACTTTCAGTTGTGAGGGAAAATAAATGTACTTTTAGTTGAAAGGTAAAATGAGACACTGAATTATGTCTTATTGTGAATAAGAAACCATATGGCTTGATATTATGTCTAATAACATCAAGAATGTAGCCTTGGAATTTGGCTAGGGTAATATTACTTTAGCTGATATTTTTATTATTTGATTATAACTTGCAAATTGCAAGCTCTGTTTAAAATCTGTATCGTACATCAAAACACATAATTATATTTATTTGAATGATTTGTATATAATTTAAAGTCATTTCTGACGTACACGTACACATTACTTAGAAGCATACACTAATATCATTTGTCAACGCCTACATTGGCAGAACTAATATCATTTGTCAATGCCGAAATAACCCCGCCTACATTGACATAACTAATAATTTTCTACACATTGTTACACAATAAAGACAAGATCTTGGCATTATTTGTAGCTGTCAAATTTAGAGTAAATATAGCTTTTACGTTACTCAATTCTTTCCTTACTAACAAATCACTTTAATATCAAATACGGACTAAAATATCCTTATGTGTAATTTAATAATTAATTGGTTATGCGTTCTCTTTTTTAGGTGATGTCACAATGAATACTGTAAAATAAGAACGTAATGTTATTCGTCCTCGTGTTCCTTATGATTGCAAAATGTACATTTTAAATTGGACTACTACACTATATTGATTAAAACTTTTTACATGTGTTCTATAGAAAACCTTTGTATATTATGTAAATATGTTAAAACTGAAAATATGTACAGGTGATATTGATAAAGGCAATAGCTTGCCAGCATGTACACCCGTTCAAAATAAATAATGTAAATTTAATGGATTATTTCACTAGGTAATAAATATGTAGAGGTAAAGACTGAAACACCCTTTTTACTCTCGAAATTAATAAAAAAAATCTAAATAATTTTTCACTTGAAACTAGCATGTAAATGTGAAATTTTTTTTTCTCCTTTTTCCACTCTTTACCGACATGCGTAGAGGCAAAAAAAAAAAAAATCAGATGTCTTAAAGTAAAGGTGCAGTTTGAAACTTATGCACTTGTTGGTGCAATTAAAATCAATCCACATTTCATTGATATTTGAAGTTGTAAGATAAAATATACTCACTCACTTTTCGTAGGTGAAGGCAGAAAACGCTCTCAGATGTCGATTGCCAACTGCAGTGATTACTCATTGAATATAATAGAACCAGAAATAGTGGACCTTGTAGGAGCTTTGAAGAAGCCATCAGGAGCCATTGAACCATGTATCCTAAAGAAAATGGGAGAAGGTGGAAATCTAGGTATGCATTGAATGAAGCCTAATGTTTCACCGCTAAAGCCGCTTGAGATTTATGCACTGTCTGGTTTAAATGGCAAGTTGGCAACGGAATATATTGGTTTTGGGCTAAACTTTGTTTAATTGTTGAATACTGCATAAGCCGGTGCTAGGGGCGTAGATGGTAACTTGTACTTTCCATTGTCGTCCATGAACAGACTCAATCAAACCGAGCCTGTAGTTTTTCAATTTTGTCGTTTTTGACTTTCTTTAAGGTTTCTATTTTTCTCTATTTTTAAAGCACAAAATACACGAAAAGCATCTGGTTCTATTTCGTATTAAATATCATCTCAAAAATTCATTGTAATTCTGCATTTGTCTTGTCTTTGATCCAGACAACGCCATTGCCATACTTTGTTATTTAATTTAATAAACATATTTATAAAACACAAACATCATGTTGATTAAAGTGACAGTATGTCCATCTAATTGTTAATGGTAAGTGAACTGGGAAAAATCATAAAATCTTTGCATTTTTGTTTTTAATTCTTTATTGTGTTACAAGTTACTCACGTAGCATTTTAAATTACCAAAACAGGAATTGCATCATTCGCTCCAAAGGAGAGGGGTACTTACACAGCTAGTATTTGTCGTTCGGACGAGAAACCTGTGAAGGGAAGTCCGTTTAGCATCAAGGTTGGAGACAACGAACTTGCACATGCTGCTAAAGTCCATCTGACAGGCAATACAACAAGTGCCCAAGCCAACTCTGACAACCATTTTATTGTAGATACAACCGGTGCAGGTTAGTTTTAAGAAGAAATAGTTTTTTTCTATGTCTATATTATGTGTGTTTTCTAGCGACAGATTTCTTTGAAGTTTGCCTTCGTTCACTACGCTTGGTTGTAAATATATACCGTTACCTAATTTTATTATTTAGTTTAATTTGTGCATTTCCACTGTATAGACTCAATAAGATAAATTGGCTTCAAATGTAAAATAATCATTTCGTTTCCATGAATATCTTGCTATTTTATCATTAAACATTTTATATTTTTCCTCCTTCTTTATAAGGATATGGTGGCGTCAGTGTGGTACTTGAAGGGCCTCACAGGTCTGAGCTTGATTATGAGGAAGTGGAACCCAGAAAGTACAAGGTCATGTACAGCCCACACGAGCCTGGAATATACATCCTCAATGTCAGATTCGCTGATGAACATGTCACTGGTATGAACCCCAAATTTTGCTTCCCTTCATCAACGTCTCAATCTGTTGCCATAATATTTTTATTAGGAGCTAATTATCATCATTATAAAGAAAGAAGTTGTAAAAGATATTCTTAGTATTTGTTTTTTACGATGTTATAATTTCAGCTATCTCCTCTTTCGTCTTTTGTAGTGACGCAAATGTTTATTGGTGACAATTAATGTCCGTAATCTTTTATCAAACGTTTTTGAAATACCACCCACGGTAGAACTTGTTGCCAACAGGATAGAGGTCTTTTCTTCCGTATCAGAAACCAAAATCTCATTGTACATGAGTTGATGCCATATTATTTTGACAAAATCCTTTATATTTTGGCTGATTAATTTCTTCCAGGAAGCCCGTTCTTGTTGAATGTTGCTGGTGAACCATCTGGTCGCACACGTGAAACTGTTTCCCGCGAAATGGAACAGGCTGAAGCAGTACAACCCAACACGAAATGCGAATTCCTCCTAAAAATCCCAGGTAATTTGTGGTGACTTTAATTGCCAAAAACGATTTCCGTTTGTACCTTTTCACAACATTGAGGTAAATAGGTATGGACAATTTGAATGCAATTAGGATCATGGTTCAGCAAATGTGATAGGTATTTGGTTATATATCAATGTATATCAGAATTTTCTGTAGAAAAAAGAATAATCGAAGGCTGCCATGAATTCACCTTTTTTCTTCTGCAAACATGAACGAATCCGTCATATCTAATTGAAAGAAGCAGGTGCATTTTCTGAAATGTATCAAAACATAATAGCAGACGATGTCTGCAGTATATATTGGTATATCAATGACCGTAGATTTTCCTTTAGGATACTTTTGTTGGTTTTTGATTTCATGCATATTTTCAACATGGGTTTAGTCTTTTATCAGTGGGCATATGGCTTAACATATAATAATTGGTAACATAACCCTACAAAACCTTACTTTCATACGCTGCAAGAAAAACATAGTTTCTACTTAAGAATTAGTTATTCCTTCTAACTTGCTTTCACTCATGAAGATCCCAGAATCCGTTCACATTATATCAACAGGTTTTAAACAATTTTCCTTTAGACTGTTAAGTGCGTCCTTCAATTTATGTTACAAATTAACTTCTAAGATTTCAAAAAATATCTCAAGACAAGAAAATGATATTAAAATACCACTTATATATTCTTAACGAAACTTTCAGTTCTTTAATTTTAAAATTCTTTCTTTCTGAATTGCTTTATTCCATATTAAATACGTTATTGGCCAGACGTTTTCATTGCTTAAATCATTACATGCAGCCTTGCAAATTAATTTTGGTTAGTTCATATAGTCTTTACGATTGTCAAAGTTTTGTCTAATGTATATCGGTCCTGTTGTCTGGTTTCTTGTAAAAAAATGCAATGCAAAAACAATGAATACTCTCAAACTTCCTGTTAACGCATACGCTTATGTTTCTTTTTAGGCACCAATCCGTTCGACATGGAAGCGTCTATCACTGACCCTGATGGCCAGACAGAATTATGCGAAGTCATGGATGAAGATGATTTCCACTACAGAATTAACTTTACACCTAAATTTAATGGCATTCATATTCTTAGTATTAAACACAAGGGGATGCATATATCCGGTACGAAAATCTATTTTAGATATTGAAAAATCTATTTTTTTGAATAACTCTGTACGTGCTTCGTTTACTATAATATTTTAATGTTATTCTTTAACATAAAATACAGTATATTCTTAACTATTTGTTTCATCATTACAGTCATATGCACAAAATTTGTATTAACAGCATAATCAAGTTGGATTTTAGATTGACAAAGCACTAAATATACTCCTTTCATATATTTTACAGGAAGTCCCTTCCAGTACACCATAGGTCAGCTGAAGGTTGGAGGATCTCATAAGGTACAAGTAGGAGGTCCAGGTCTAGAAAAGGGAGAGGCCACACAATTTAGTAAGTGTTGTTATGAAACAAGGGCTGGAACGGAGTGACATTGATAAAAGGCATAGATAAATCTATGTTGTGGAATTTTATTGTTTTATTTTTCAAATAAGTTGTTTATTCATTTTAAAGCTTCACATTTTTGTACTCATATGATAAAACACATGAAAATATTTAATGATTGTCAACGTGCTAAGGTTAAAGTAAGCTTTTTTAAAAGAAAATGTCACAACAGTGAAAACCAATTTTCTTTTGCAACTTTAAAAGCATACATTTTTGCTTACTTAATATAATTTTTATACAATTCTGTATAGTTTAGTCATTGTCACTAAAGTATGAATGTGTTATGTTTTTGTTCCAAAGTTTTAAAGATTTAGAAGTATGATAATTATGTTAACGTAAAAAAATCTATTTCAGACCACTTTAACATATATACCCGAGAAGCCGGTGCTGGTACATTGAGCGTTGGTATCGAGGGTCCAGGCACCGCCAAAATTAAGGTTGAGGAACGCCCACACGGATTCCTTGGAGTAGCTTACAATGTTGATAAGCCCGGTAAGTTTAAAAGTTATTTTATTGTCACGTGTTATAAATAATTTCCGATAAAGGAAATGTTTAAGACACTTAACAAATAATATGTTCCAATATCCTGTTTTTTTATTCAATGTATACGGTGCGACTTAAGTTAAGGATTTACTAAATAACTTACGTGTCCTAAATGTCAAAGTGTTATTTAGGAACTGATATTAATCAAATTGAGCCGGACTGCATAGAGTGTTCACCTAAGGATCGCTTACATCTTTACGGCAGTGTTTGAGAAAACATTATAATGATGTTATACAATAACTTAGACCGTGAGATTATTTATGCTTGTTTTAGATTGTTAAACGTTTTTGTTTTTTAAATTGATACTTTCCTATGCTCCTATATACATATCTAAAACAATTGCACAAGAAATTTTTAAGGAATTTTACTACGCTTTCGTGTTTTGAGTGTAAAATTGATATTCTTCAATAGATAAAGGGAAGTAATTCATCGACAAATAATGTAAAATTAGTTGTAACATGGTAACAGTAATAGTTATAACTCTACTTAACACTACCTTAATTTACACATTCATAATTCTGGCATAGATTCGTTTATTTCCCCTCACTTATCCTACATATTTCTGACATTGGTTCGTATATTTGTCCAGGTATGTACGGAATTCACATTAAACTCAACGACGAACACATCCCCGACTCCCCGTTCCGTGTGAACGTCAGCCCTGACGGAGGCTCAGCCAGACAAGTTACTGTCCACGCCCTCAAAGACCGAGGCTTGTCTGTAAGTAGACCTGCTAATTTCATTCTAATTATAGCATAGATCTTTACTGCAGCATGACCTTTTCTGTTATAATTGTGTCATTTATTCAAATACATCTTGCAACTGTATTGTTTAGTGTCTTTATACCACGTATAAGATATGGACACACTGAAAGAATTTCATTTAATTTATTAAAATTTTGATAACAATATATCAATTATATAACTAATTAGGAAGGTAATAACAAAATGCAGGTTAATTTTAACGTATACATCTTCATAGCTGTGAAACCGTTTGCGCTATCGTATAAATGCTAGCAATATAATGCAGACTTTATAGCTATTTATTAGATATTTTGGAAAGTTCTTTTAAAATAAAATATGCCAAATAAAGGTTTTCGAATATTGTAGCTGTTATGATTAAGTCACTCAATAAATGCTATAGATATGTGCGAGATATACATATTGAATATTGATTTAAATCGATTCATTATCATTCTTATATGCATCCATGTTTGGAACAGGTAGTGTTTATAGTTAATTAGGTTTGTCCTTTTTTACTCTTTTTTCATCAGTGAATGCCTCATTGTAGCGTTTTATTATATATGTATTTCTATTTTCCTTCGGTGGGTTTCGTCTAGTATATACTTTCTTATCTCTCTATATATACATGAATTGTAAATGTAATTTATAATTGTGTTGTTCTTGTTTTGTTTAAAAAATGTTTTAATTGTTGATTTTGTTATGTTTGTTTTATTGTATGTTTTATCTTGTTACAGGGTGATTGTTGTAGATTAGAGGTCTGTTTAATATTATATATCAATCGGTACTTAACTTTACTGAAACTCGCATTGTTGTTTCAGCGTAAAAATATCCCATTTGATCCAGTCCCCTGATTTTAGAAGTGTGCTTTTCTAATAATCATTGCTTTACAATCAAGCAAAGACTGAAAAATTTCTTATTTGAGCCGCGTCACGACAAAACAATCATAGTACGTTTGCGACCAGCATGGATCCAGACCAGCCTGTGCGAGTCTGATCAGGATTCATGCTGTTCGCTTTCCAACTCTATTACAAGTAAAGAAACTGATAGCGAACAGCATTGATCCTGATCAGACTGCGCGGATGCGCAGGCTGGTCTGGATCCAAGCTGGTCGCAAACCCATTATGTTGGTTTTGTCGTGACGCGGCTTATTTCATCTACATGTTACTGATCTTAACACGCGAAGCCATTGAATGCTCAACTAATGAAATGTAAGCGGATGCATTTAAAGGCGACAGCAAATTTTCACAAACATACTTTAAAATTACATTTCAGTTTATTAATCATTTCAGTATATTAATTGTTGATGTAAGTACTGTATGTAGAATGTGATCCAATTAATAAGTACAAAACATCTAATGGAAATATGACTTCATGAGAAGACATTTTTTAAAGCGTAAGGACGATCAATGGAGTTTCTAGCTTCACTGGTTCCAGTATTTTCTGTACTTTGATACAATATTAGCAAGCATCGCTGTACTGATTCAGTTGATATTTACGTAAGAATGTGAGAATTTCTATGTGAAGCACATAAATTTTACTAAAATATCTGAAAAGCACACTTTATTATCCTAGAAATGATTCATTTGCGTTTGATCCATTAATTCGTCAAATCTAGACCTACCAGTCTTCCTTTTTTATTTCTAAATAAAATTTGAAAACAGATAAAACTACTATTTTTCTAGCATTTATGATTTATGTCTATCATTTGCGATTTTTTTTTTTCAATTCAATACATTGTATATATACTTTTTCCAATATTTGTGCTTGTGATTTTTTAAATCTTTAATTTATTTCAATTTTAAAACATCTTCAATTTCAACGGAAAATATTGTTAAAATATTTCAATTATTTAAAGTCACTTGTTCTTTATCAGCATTGTTCAACTAATCTACGGCCTTTGGACAATGGTGTTAAAACATTATATATCAAAATTTAAAAAGTATTTTTTTCAGAATGGGTGGAATGGCAATAATCTTTAAGAACAACTCATTTTATTATTGCATTGCATGTTTATTATCAACATTTCATTTTGTAATTATCATTTTATGACTCGACAGAGAAATCCTTTGATAATAAAAATGTTCCATCATAATCTATTTTAAAATTTTCGTTGTCCCTCCAGTCTTATTTTGTTTTAAAAAAATCAAGTGTGTTCTCTTATAACTTTACCAAAACTGAAATGAAAGACTGTCATATACTTTAAGACATGTTTAAATTTTGACAGTGTTAGTATGAAATATAAATGAGCCGTGTCACGACAAAACCAACATAGTGGGTTTGCGACCAGCATGGATCCAGACCAGCCTGCGCATCCGCGCAGTCTGATCAGGATCCATGCTGTTCGCTATCAGTTTCATTACTTGTTATAAGGTTGGTAAGCGAACCCATTATGTTGGTTTTGTCGTGACGCGGCTCAAATGAAAATATTTATAGGAGTTATAATAAAAAATAGCAAAATTTTATTTTTACCGATAACTTGTTTGTAGCTTAAAATTTGAACGCCATTGTAATAATTATTATCATTTATTGTGCGAGTTGATTATAAAATGATGTCAAATTAACGAAGGTAGCCACGTGGTAGTATATATTGATTTGCAATGTATTTTATATCAGATACAGAATGCTATGTATTTCTGCTCCATGAATCATTTAGATACATACACTCAATTGGCTTTAGCAGTTATATGAACGTTTATATTTGAAATTCCAATTGCGGCATAACTATCATCATCATTATTATCATTATAGATTGATAAACCAGCCACATTCACCGTATCATTCAACGGAGCTTCCGGTAATCTGCACTCATATCTCCGCACGCCATCTGGAGGCCATGAAGATTGTTTCATCCAGGAGATGGACACTGGTCTTTATGCCATCAGGTATGCAAAAACATTAACACATATAGATCAAATACTGAAAAGTAAAGTTACATTATAGGTTTTATTATTGAACAATTTTAGTAAGATATATCGTGAGTAAGATGTTTAAATGCCAAATATGTGCAGGATCCCATCTAAATTGATTGAAAAATGCAATTATTGCAAGAGTTATTAGGTCACAGTGAACCAACTCTGACTGTTTTTATTGTACGAGTAATTATATTTTTGGTGCCTTGTAGACCTCGATTTATGGTCTGATTTTATAGTATGTATCTATCTGACATTACTTATATTTTTACTTGTTTATATTCATATACACGAGCTTACAAACAAATACACATAGTCAACAACTGCACATTTGAATTTCAGTCAAAATACACTTTTCTACTAACAAGCATTCCGCATGCATAAGTTACATATCCATTCCTTGTCATTAAATGTCACCGTAACATTTCAGATTTGTACCCAAGGAGAATGGAGTTCATTATATTGATGTGAAGCTTAATGATACTCATGTACCCGACAGTCCTTTTGCTGTCATGGTCGGCTCAGTCGCTGCAGATCCAGCCATGGTCCATGCTCACGGCGATGGTCTTGAACATGGAAAATGCAGTAAGTTATAGTTATCTGGATAAACCATTGGACATGACAAGTTTTATCTGGTCAAACCATTGGAAATAAAAAGCTTTATCTGGTCAAAACATTGGAAATAAAAAGCTATATCTAGTCAAACTATTGGACATGATAAGCTTTGTCTAGTCAAACCATTGGAAATGGCAAGCTTATCGGGTCAAACCATTGGAAATGGCAGGCTTTATCTGGTCAAACTATTGGAAATAGCACGTTTTGTCTGGTCAAACAATTTGAAATGGCAGGCTTTATCTGGTCAAACCATTGGAAATTAAAAGCTATATCTAGTCAAACCATTGGCAATGAAAAGCTATATCTAGTCAAACCATTGAAAATGGCAAGCCTTATCGGGTCAAACCATTGGAAATGGCAAGCTTTGTCTGGTCAAACCATTAGAAATAGCAAGTTTTGTCTGGTCAAACCATTGGCAATGGCAGGCTTTATCTGGTCGAACCATTGGGAATGAAAAGCTATATCTAATCAAACCATTGGAAATGGCAAGCTTTGTCTGGCCAAACCATTAGAAATGGCAAGCTTTGTCTAGTCAAACCATTGGAAATGGAAAACTTTGTCTGGTCAAATCATTGGAAATGGCAGGCTTTACCTGGTCAAACCATTGGAAATGAAAAGCTATATCTAGTCATATCATTGGAAATGACAAGCTTTGTCTGGTCAAACCATTGGAAATGGCAAGCTTTAAATTACTTTTTAATTCAATTTTACTTTTGCATTTTATTAAAGCAGAGGTTTTAGTCGAGCATATGTCTACCACTTATATTGGCTGGAAAGAATGTTCAGATCGCCATTTAATAAGGTCTTTGCTGTCCTTTTTCAGTATTACTTTCCAAATTCATTGAGCCGATGTTTAATTTATTGCTGATTGTGTGTAGAGAAAATATTGCATATCTATTTAAAAATTGAAGTGGCTTCTTAACTTTGTCTTAAATGAGCGCATATAACTGCCTTTTATCCTTTTTAAAACAGTTCTGTAACTTTTTTTTCTTTCAGACCAAAAGGCCAAGTTTGTTGTCAGGACAGCCGGGTCCGGCTCTGGTTTCTTGGCTTGCTTCATTGATGGACCTTCCAAGGCGGCACTCAGCTGCAAAGAGGTGGATGAAGGCTACGAGTTTAGCTACACACCGTTTGCCGCTGGCAAATATCTCATTACACTTAAATACGGAAATATCGGCATCGCCGGAAGTCCATACCAAGCTGTTGTCACAGGTATGAAATGAAACGACTGAGAAGCAACCTTTTGCGCTTCTTTGCTTTTTGTGAAACTTCAATGCTAATTCACATTATTTGCCATTTTTCGGTAAATCCCTTAGTATCAGATTAAAACTTAAAGTACAGATATTAATGCATACTGTGAAGATGGTATTGATTAATACCAATTTAAATTTTGTGTACCAAGAGTTAAAAATATAAGCGATTCCAGCGATTCCTTTTAATACACATTTTGATATGTTATAGTAAAATAGAAATATTAATTTTTAACAGAACATAACATAAGTTTATAATTAAATCGTATGCGAGCATCATATTGATTAAAAAATATCATTTTACATGCATGTATAAAAATATGTAATGAAAGCATATACAAAAAAATGAATGTAATGAGTATAAATACATAGCCTACATAATATTAGAAAGAAGGACATATTTGAAATAAAGTTAACTTTAGCTTTTTTATCCTCGTTTTTCAAGAGAGATCACCATACTTTGAACCTTTTTATTTTATAATGCATATGCATTTAAATTACCAACTGTTTTTACAGGATCTGGACGAAAACCATCACCAATTCTTGAACAATCTTCCATGGTTGTCGAGACAGTAGAAAAGAAACCAGGATCTAAGGTTTCAAAGAAATTCCGTGGCGATGCAAGCAAGGTCGTTGCCAGGGGACCCGGTATCAAGAAGGCATTCTTAAACAGAGTCCAGAACTTGACATTAGATGTAAAGGATGCAGGTAAATGAATATCTATAACCCAAGGGTAGTTACATGGCTCTATTAAGTCTAACAATGCTTAATATCTTAATTGGACTTATAATGAAATTTTTAAACTGCACGAAACCATTAATCATTTTTAGAGAACAAAAATCAAAGTCAGTATTGACTGAATGGTGAATGTACAGACCATGATCAGACGTAGCAAAAATGAAAAGGAGGTTGAACTGTTGAAAACACGAATACTTGAAAACTTTGTCGTTTGTTTTAACCATTATTATCTTGGTCTTACTGTCGTTAATTACGTTATTTATTTTTCGTACTGCGGGGAGAAAAAAAAAACATGTGACATTTCATGCTTCCACTAGAGAAAATCGTACATGTTAATTATCGGCCAATGTAAAATGTTAATTCAAAAGGGAATGCTAGGTGGATCTACGTTAAGTCCTTCAAGATACCTTGATATCGTAACCAAAATAGTCAAAAGGATTAGAATGTTTATCATATTCATGAATTGTACTTTTTTGTATGCAGGTATATCTTTAAAGATGATATATATTTATTTGATATGAGCCGTGTCACGACAAAACCAACATAATGGGTTTGCGACCAGCATGGATCCAGACCAGCCTGCGCATCCGCGCAGTCTGATCAGGATCCATGCTGTTCGCTATCAGTTTCTCTACTTGTTATAGGGTTTGTAAGCGACCAGCATGGATCCTGATCAGAGTGCGCAGGCTGGTCTGGATCCATGCTGGTCGCAAACGCATTATGTTTGTTTTGTCGTGACGCGGCTCATATTTATTTGATATATCTTTACAGGTAACGCCTTGTTGACAGTGGGTATGATGACCCCATCTGGTAACCCGGAAGCGGAACTTACCGTGAAAAAGGCATCCAACACATCCTACACAGTATCTTATAATTGCAAAGAACCTGGGGAACACACCCTTCAAATCAAATGGGGAGATGAGGACATTCCCGGCTCTCCATTTAGCCTTCATGCATAGACAACAAGACATTTGCCTTATTTATCCTAGGCTAATTGTGTGATATAAATAATATCAGTTTACAAGAAACCTGTGTTCCATTCCCTAACCCATTTTATGTTGTAGAAACAATACGATAATTCTGAATATGGTCGAAGGTATGAAAAAGAAATTGGTCAATTTAAGTGTCATGAAAATTTTCGCGCAGAAAAGTATGTTTTCTCCAACAGATGTTAATAAACTAATTTTTCAATATTTCATGTGAGTGAAAAACTATTTTTGCTCAGTTTCGGATGCAGTTTTTGATGGAAAAATGAAAACAACTTCAGAAAATATTTGAGAAATTTGTTTATAAAGCATGCAGTAAACGATTTAGCCTTACAAGGAGGCAAAAATTTGCAGAAAACGTCATGAATTGCCAATAACATAGCGAGTGTAGAAGGAATTGTAAAATGTTGTTTGGATGTGCAGTTTAAAACATCTGTCAGACTTTTAGCATATTTGATAAGAACTGAATTGCAATTTTTATTTGGGTTTTAGTCTTTTAGAAAAAATATTATATATGTAAATATTGACTGATTGTATTTAATCTTGTGATTTTTAAGAAAAAAAATAAATGAAATGTTTAAAGTTATTTACACCGCTTTTAATTGAGTTTTAGCTAAATTTATTGCCATTTTCTTTTGACAAGTTAACGTTCGGGCGTCATTTTTACGTTTCGTTCGGAGACGGTCGTATTATTTTTAACGGTATTAACTATTGTGCAATATATTTATTAATATTTATTGTAGTAATTTATTAAATAACCTTCTTTTTGTGTGAAACACAGACCGTGAAGCTGTTAGTTTAATTTTTTGAAAGTTTTGTAGAAGACAATGTATCTTTTTTATGTAACAAAACATATGTTGATGCTATTACAATTTATTCTAAAACAAAAAAAAACGACAAAACACTTTGTGCATGGAGTGATAACATGTCTAGGATTGTTTAGGTAAATAAAACATCGAAACTACTTATTTTATGTGGTTATTAACTCCCTTTTGTCCCAATATTATTTCCTACCCTAGGAGTGGTTTTCGTGTATACATGTATATCCGAAACGCCGTCATTTCGTTTAAATGCATTATTGTAAAAATATGGTGAATATGTCTGCAAAATAATCGCACATTACATGGAAATTATTATTTTTAAATTTAATCATTTTACTATTCTAAAAGCTCAATAAATTTTTCTTACGTTTCATTTTCTTGAAATATCTTATCTCATCTGGAGGCATGCAGTTTTAATGCTTTACAAGCTTTGATTAAATGTAAGAATGTGCTAAAAGATTAAAAAGATACCATTTTACATCACAAAAAGATGTGTAGTGATGCATTGAAAATACATACTCAAAGGCCAACAGCTTGAGATAGGAGTCTTAATTTATTCTTATACCGCCTTCAAGAGTGGACTTATACAATGAAACATTTAAATAAGTACAATAAACAAAATAAATGCATATGAAAATTAATGTTCTTTTATAAATCAATCGGACTAGAATAGTAAAAGAGGATAAAGATGACCTTTGTCATTAAGTCTGTGAGGAAAGGCAATTTTGACTTCTCGGACTCTGTGTTAGCTTTTAGATATTTTTATTCAATATATTATTCCACCTTCATTTTGCATTATACCAAATTATTCAAGTAAGTTTGAAATGCAATACACACAATTCAAGTGGTCTACAAAGGCACTTTTCCCATACGTATTTCAAATATTAATGAAAAATATGAAAATGTACCATTCGGATATTCTAATAAATCATTACTTGAAAGAACATATTGATAAAGTCATACGTGAACATTTATATAATGATTAAAATTGAATTGAAAATATTTTAAATAATGGAATAAAAATATTTTGCTCTAAAGCAATTTATTATCTGCTACTATACCAGATCAAGTACTAGTATCTCATACTTGCCAACAACAGCCAAACATAATTATTTTGTGGTTTGTTGTTTTGTTTGATACTAAACATTATCAACATATGAGCCGCGTCACGACAAAACCAACATAGTGCGTTTGCGACCAGCATGGATCCAGACCAGCCTGCGCATCCGCGCAGTCTGATCAGGATCCATGCTGTTCGCTATCAGTTTCTCCACTTGTTATAGGGTTTGTAAGTGAACAGCATGGATCCTGATCAGACTGCGCGGATTCGCAGGATGGTCTGTATCCATGCTGGTCGCAAACCGATTATGTTGGTTTTGTCATGACGCGGCTCATATAAATTATCTATTGTATCACAGATCTGTGGCTATATAGCAAATATGCTGCAAGCTTTGACTCTAGGAAATAACCACACTAAATGTTCAATAATTGAGATACTAGATTGCAGAGAAATGTATAACTATTATTGAAGTATTAGTTTGAATTCATTTACAAAATACAATTTCAATTTTAAGTTCTATTCTCCTACGTATTTAGCAATTTTGAAAAGAGTCTCAATTTAGGTAATTATCAGTGTATAAATTTGCGAGTATATGTGTATAGTGTGATTGTTTCAAAATGTCAGTCTGGTTCATGTACAAATATAATAGCATATAAATGTCTTTATATATGGGTTATCATTGGCATACATACATGTCTTTTGAAGTAATTGAATGATAGTAATCAAGTTAAGTATTTAGAAATTAGGTCAAACCCCTGCTTTGGAGAAAATATTGAAATAATGGCCATTTGGTGTTAGAATTTGGTGTTATGGTCTAAATTCCCATTTGAAGACATGATTCATTAAGTGAATTGGTCTGTTGTGGAAAGCATTTAATATCATAAATAATAAGGCGATTATGAGGAAGTTTAAAAATGCTATAAATTATATTAAACATGAAAAAAGGAACCATTTCTGCTTTTCTTAATTAGTCAAAGTACATGCAAGCATATTTAAAAGGGGGAATAAATGAGCAAGTAACAGGTTATTTTCTAATAATGCGCTTATTTTAAATTACTTAAAACAAACAAATGTACCTATTAGACGATTACGAGTAAGTTTTAAAATGCTATAAATTATATTAAACAGTTAAAAATAAATTATTTCTGCACTTCTTTTCAAGTCAAAGTACAGGCAAGTATATTTAAAAGGGGAATAAATGAGCAAGTAACGGGTTATTTTCTAATGCGCTTATTTCCCTGCCGACATTGTACCTATAGATATAGGTGCTCTTAAAATGATTCCATTTTACATGACGGGGCTGTAAATAATTTTCCGAGATTAATGTTCTATTTGATGTCGGTCTAGTCCAATAAAATGTTATGCACACTTTCAGACCATTCGTTCCTTCCAGTCTAGAGTAGTTATTCTAATTGTGAAAAATGACCAAAACTGAAAAGTGTTGTAACGTTTTTTAACTCTAACCGTGCTAAGAATAGCACAAAAATTCATTTTTTGGGGGTATATTTCGTTACTATCTTTTCACATTTTTTTCTGCTTTAAGTGCTTCAGCTAATGTATGTAAGTAATCTATTTTTAAGTTTTTAAATCAACTGATTTATTTCATTACAAAATATAATGTTTTTACTTATGATTGCCACAGGCTTTAATGACACTAACACAGAAACAATCCAGGAAGATTATTTAGATATAGACTGGTAAATGTTAACATTAAAAATAACCCAAAAACAACAGCAACAACAACAACAACAAATCAAACAACCAAAGACAAAAACACTCATTGACGAAGAACAGTTTTAAATGCTAAGCAGGAAAAAACCGTCATTCAAATAGCTATTTGCTGTGAAAGGATAAACACATGAATGTATTTAAGTTTTCGATAGTTATCTACTTTTACAGCTAATAAAACATTTATTTGTGTTAAACTCTTTAAAGAGTATTCACTATTTCGGCAGCTTATATCATAATTACAACATTTTTTTCTACACTTTTAAGATCTTTACTTTTTATAGTCTACTTAAAAGGATCAAAGGTTAAGTAAAAGAGTTGGTAAGCGAACAATGGATCCTGATCAGACTGCGCGGATGCGCAGGCTGGTCTGGATCCATGCTGGTCGCAAACGCACTATGTTGGTTTTGTCGTGACGCGGCTCATTTATTTGTGTTACACTCTTAAAAGAGTATTCACTATTTCGGCAGCTTATATCATAATTACAACATTTTTTTCTACACTTTTAAGATCTTTACTTTTTATAGTCTACTTAAAGGATCAAAGGTTAAGTGCCAATTCACCCTTTGCCTTGAAATTAATTTCACGAGTAAAGGTACAGATGTATTTCTATGAAGTATTTACAGCTTTTAGTGGGTTTTTGAGATATGATTCAGACATTGGAAGCTTCGATATATCTTATTAACAATTTATACGATTACTCAGAAAATATTGCATACTGCTATATGTTCATTGTGCGAGAAAAGTGAAAAATTCGTATTCGTATTTATTACGAATATGACTTTACGAATTTTGAATTAATATTGCAAACTTTTTAAAATTCCTCAAGAACAGTAAAAAAAACCAAAAAAAAAAAACCGAAAAGATGAAAATTGCTTACTAGGCTTTTTTTGAGTCTCAAAAAGTACAACATATCATTGAAAATTGAACACTTAAAGTATTGGCAGATTTCGTAACATACGAAATAAATCGGTTAAAGACTTGCGTATTTTAATAGAAACAGGAAGATATTAAAAAAATCAAGAATCTCAAAATTCTTTAAACTGTTGCTCTCACAATCAAACAGAAGACGAAATCCATTTTCTCTATGTTGTAAAAGTTCGATAGATAGCAGTAGAAAATTAATGTTTTAACAAGTTGAGATGTTATTTAAACAGATTACTTAAATACAAAGCTTAATATCTTCTGAAGGCATTGTAAGTTTTAATATTTTATTACCCCTTTACTTAAAATACATAATACTTGTGCTGTTGTTAGCTACAAATATTTTGTCTGACCATTGAATGATGTTATGCATGCAAATTATAATTGTGCCTTTTTCAATCGAATTCTTTGTCATTACATACGTAACATAACCCACACGTGCGTTAAATTTACTACAATGAATAACTTTGAATAATAATGATATTCAGAAGACATTTCCATAAAAAGAAAAAAGGTCATCATTCTCATCAAGTTTAGAATAATACATCTGGTTTCAAGTTTAAAATGTTTCAAGTGAATCTGTGAATAATTAATTTCATTGAACAATAAGTGTCTCCATGTCATCCTATACTTGTTATAAATCATATACATTAATCTTTTACCCGCATGACATACAAGTATTATGCTATTTGTGTTGTCACTTTGTCTAAATAATTGGAGAGCTTTCTCACTTACATGTGATGTTCTTTCCGATAATAAATCCTTAATGACCCCTGAATACATGTATCTCATTTGAAATGACAGTGAAAATACACATTTCTGGTATCTCTTTAAATATCAGATTCATTAAGGTTGATTTAATGTGTGAATTATAAAGGTCCATTAACAACCTACTTATCTTTTCATCATATACTCGTTTTGCGTTTTACAGGTGTTTTAGTTATAATGAGAATAATGACAATTTTGTCCTCACACAAATTACCAATTACGACATCAGTTGTATAAACGCTTTTAATATCAAATGACTGGCATTAATATGATATATGAAAATATTATTTTAGTCTGAGAAACATCGTTTCCTTTAAAAAGAGACATAATTCTCCACATTCTAATGATCTTTTGAATTAATCTATTAATATTTTTATAAGAAAGGATAAGATTCAAAAATTTGAAATTCAAAAGATACAAATATTTTTAAGGCGATATTTAAGAAAATGTGTGCTTCAAGTTATAACATTCCGTTTTATAGTCATGTTTGCATTTATCTCAGTACACCACGTTACCGCCCATGTTCAGTGAATGTTTAACGTTAAAGCACGCTCCAAAGAATTTGTTCTGTGATGCATCTCTCCGGAGTTTTTCAAATTTTAACGTGTAATTGAAATAAATGTATAAAATGCTATCTTTTTTAAATGCACCAAATCCTTTCCG